AGTTGACACTTGAAGACATCCAACCATCCGAGCGAGAGCTGATTAATCAACTTACCAGTTTGATTTTGGTTATTTATTCAAGTTTTCCTTCACTTTGTTCTTTCAGTAATGGCTGCAAAAGGCGAGGGGCCTGCAATCGGGATTGATTTGGGGACCACTTACTCATTCGTGGGCGTGTGGCACCACAACCGCGCCGAGATCATAGCCAATGATCAAGGTAATCGCACGACGCCCTCCTATGTCGCTTTCGCCGACGGCGAGCGTTTCATAGGCGAAGCCGCCATTAACCAGGCCGGCATGAACCCCGCAAACACGATCTTTGGTGAGCAGTTTTTTTCCCCAATTTTTCTTCTGTTTTATTTTCGTAGTGTTATATTGAATTCCTTTCTTAAATTTCCTAGTGTTGTATTGAATTTCAGTTGCACAGTATATGTGAGGTGTTGATATTGGTATTAATTAGTCCATATTAAGAAACAACCCTACTCTGCCTCTAACCGTGTTGGGCGATATGCAGATGTCAAGCGGTTGATCGGGAGACGATACAGCGACGCCTCTGTGCAGGCTGACATAAAGCTGTGGCCTTTCAAGGTTGTCCCGGACCCCACCAGATCCCTTTGGCTCGAGAAGATAGGAAGAGGGTGAGTTTTGTTACGAGCAGGGGTACTTATTGTTATGTGGTGATGCCTTTTGGCTTGAAGAATGCGGGTGCAACGTATCAAAGGTTGGTCGATAAAATTTTCAAGGAGCAGTTGGGAGGAACATGGAGGTGTATGTTGATGATATGTTGGTGAAGAGTAAGGTGGAGGCCGATCATATGAGTGACTTAAGAGAGACGTTCTCAACTTTGCGGAGGTATGGCATGAAACTGAATCCTGCTAAATGTTCTTTTGGGGTGAAGTCAGGAAAGTTCCTGGGGTATATGGTGATGAAGAGGGGAATCGAGGTCAACCCGGAGAAGGTGAAGGCAGTGATCGAGATGAAACCGCCCACAAAAGTAAATGAAGTGCAGATATTGNAAGGAGGTACAGATTCTGACGGGCAGGATAGCGGGTTTGAGCCGCTTCATATCCAAGGTGGCGGAAAAGAGTGGGCCCTTGTTTCGAATGTTGCGAAAGAGCTCAAAATTCCAATGGACGGAGGAGGCCGAGAAAGCATTCGAGGAGTTACAAAAGGTGTTAGCTAACTTGCCCCTATTAGCTAAACCAGTTCCGGGGGAGGACCTAGTGTTGTACGTATCTATCGGAGAACTGGTGGTGAGCTCGGTTTTGTTGAGGGAAGAAGGCGCGGTGCAATTTCCAATTTATTACGTGAGTAAAGTAATGCAAGGGGCAGAAAGGAGATATTCGGAGATCGAGAAGTGTGCTTTAGCGGTGGTAGTAACAGTGAGGAAGTTGCGGCCGTATTTTCTAGGCCATAAGGTGAAGGTGAGAACGAATATGCCATTGGGAGAGACGTTAGGTCAACCTTCGGTGTCAGGTCGGATAGTCAAATTGGCAGTCGAGTTGAGTGAGTACACGATAGCATATGAGCCAAGGAGGGCGATAAAAGCACAGGCGTTGGCGGATTTCATACAAGAGGGTACGAAGGGGGAGGAAGAAGAAGAAGGTGTTTGGCAAATGTTTGCTGATGGCTCGGTGTCGAGAGTCGGAGGAGGCTTGGGCATTGTTCTAATCTCGCCCAAGGGAGACAATTTGGAGTTTGCAGTCAAAGTCGAGCACAAGGTATCGAACAATGAGGCAGNACCCTTGTCCGGGATGCCGTCATCACCGTCCCGGCCTACTTTAGCAACTCTCAAAGACAGGCCACCAAGGATGCCGGTGCCATTGCCGACCTCAATGTCATCCGCATCATCAATGAGCCCACTGCTGCCGCCATTGCCTATGGCCTCAACTACAAAGCAGAGAAGAAGAATGTGTTGGTCTTCGACTTAGGAGGTGGCACCTGTGACGTCTCTATCCTGACAATATCAAAGGGTACCTTCGAGGTGAGGGCCACCGCTGGCGACACCCACCTTGGCGGGGAGGATTTCGACAATCGCATTGTTGCTCACTTTGCCAAAGAGTTCAAGCGCAAGTACAACAAGGACCTTTCTGAAAACCTGCGGGCCCTACGGAGGCTGAGGACAGCTTGCGAGAGGGCGAAGAGGGTTCTCTTGACCAATACTAAGACCAATGTGGACGTTGAGTGTCTGCACGAGGGGATTGACTATCACTCTAGCATTACCCGCGCTAAATTCGAGGATCTCAACATGGACCTGTTCGAAAAATGCGCCGAGCCTGTAGAGAGCTGCCTGAGAGATGCTGGGGTGGAGAAGGCTGCCATCCATGATGTCGTTCTGGTTGGAGGCTCGAGCAGGATTCCCAAGGTTCAGAAGATGCTGCAGTTTATTTTCGAGGGAAAGGAGCTGTGCAGGAGCATTAACGCGGATGAGCTGCCTGAGAGATGCTGGGGTGGAGAAGGCTGCCATCCATGATGTCGTTCTGGTTTGAGGCTCGAGCAGGATTCCCAAGGTTCAGAAGATGCTGCAGTTTATTTTCGAGGGAAAGGAGCTGTGCAGGAGCATTAACCCGGATGAGGCTATTGCGTACGGTACCGCCGTGCATACAGCCGTCCTACGTGGCATAGGGGACGACAAGGTGCGGGACCTCGTACTCCTCGATGTGACCCCTCTCTCACTAGGAGTGCACACTGTCGGGGAGGCCATGTATGTCGTGGTCCCGCGGAACACGACTGTCCCCACCCAGAAAGAGCGAACATTGTACACAAATGTAGATAACCAGTCATCTATGAGACTCTCGGTCAACGAGGGCGAACGGGCAAGGTCAACAGACAACAACCTACTCGCGCAGTTCATACTGAATCCGAGCGAGAGCTGATTAATCAACTTACAAGTTTGATTTTGGTTATTTATTCAAGTTTTCCCTCACTTTGTTCTTTCAGTAATGGCTGCAAAAGGCGAGGAGCCTGCAATCGGGATTGATTTGGGGACCATTTACTCATGCGTGGGCGTGTGGCACCACGACCGCGTCGAGATCATAGCCAATGATCAAGTTAATCGCACGACGCCCTCCTATGTCGCTTTCGCCGACGGCGAGCGTTTCATAGGCGAAGCAGCCATTAACCAGGCCGGCTTGAACCCCGCAAACACAGTCTTTGGTGGGCAGCTTTTTTCCCCAATTTTTCTTCTGTTTTATTTTCGTAGTGTTATATTGAATTCCTTTCTTAAATTTCCTAGTGTTGTATTGAATTTCAGTTGCACAGTATATGTGAGGTGTTGATATTGGTATTAAATAGTTCATATTAAGAAACAACCCTACTCTGCCTCTAACCGTGTTGGGCGATATGCAGATGCCAAGCGGTTGATCGGGAGACGATACAGCGCGCCTCTGTGCAAGCTGACATAAAGCTGTGGCCTTTCAAGGTTGTCCCGGACGCCACGGACAAGCCCGTGATTGTGGTCTCCCACAACGGCGAGGAGAAGCAGTTCCCCCCTGAGGTGATATCTTCCATGGTCCTCACCAAGATGGCCGTCATTGCCGACTCCTATCTGGCCCCACCCTTGTCCGGGATGCCGTCATCACCGTCTCGGCCTACTTTAGCAACTCTAAAAGACAGGCCACCAAGGATGCCGGTGCCATTGCCGGCCTCAATGTCATCCGCATCATCAATGAGCCCACTGCTGCCGCCATTGCCTATGGCCTCAACTACAAAGGAGAGAAGAAGAATGTGTTGGTCTTCGACTTAGGCGGTGGCACCTGTGACGTCTCCATCCTGACAATATCAAAGGGTACCTTCGAGGTGAGGGCCACCGCTGGCGACACCCACCTTGGCAGGGAGGATTTCGACAACCGCATTGTTGCTCACTTTGCAAAAGAGTTCAAGCGCAAGTAGAACAAGAACCTTTCCGAAAACCCGCGGGCCCTACGGAGTCTGAGGACAACTTGCGAGAGGGCGAAGAGGGTTCTCTCAACCAATACTAAGACCAATGTGGACGTTGAGTGTCTGCACGAGGGAATTGACTTTTACTCTAGCATTACATGCGCTAAATTCGAGGATCTCAACATGAACCTGTTCGAAAAATGCGTCGAGCCTGTAGAGAGCTTCCTGAGAGATGTTGGGGTGGAGAAGGCTGCCATCCATGATGTCGTTCTGGTTGGAGGCTCGAGCATGATTCCCATGGTTCAGAAGATGCTGCAGTTTATTTTCGAGGGAAAGGAGCTGTGCAGGAGCATTAACCCGGATGAGGCTGTTGCGTACGGTGCCGCCGTGCATGCAGCCGTTCTACGTGGCATAGGGGACGACAAGGGGAGGGACCTCGTACTCCTCGATGTGAACCCTCTCTCACTAGGAGTGCACACTGTCGGGGAGGCCATGTAAGTCGTGGTCCCGCGGAACACGACTGTCCCCACCCAGAAAGAGCGAACATTGTACACAAATGTAGATAACCAGGCATCTATGAGACTCCCGGTCTACGAGGGCGAGCGGGCGAGGTCAACAGACAACAACCTGCTCGCGCTGTTTATACTGAATCCGAGCGAGAGCTGATTAATCAACTTACCAGTTTCATTTTGGTTATTTATTCTAGTTTTCCCTCACTTTGTTCTTTCAGTAATGGCTGCAAAAGGCCAGGAGCCTGCAATCGGGATTGATTTGGGGACCACTTACTCATGCGTGGGCGTGTGGCACCACGACCGCGTCGAGATCATAGCCAATGATCAAGGTAATCGCACGACGCCCTCTTATGTCGCTTTCGCCGACGGCGAGCGTTTCATAGGCGAAGCCGCCATTAACCAGGCTGGCATGAACCCCGCAAACACGGTCTTTGGTGAGCAGCTTTTTTCCCCAATTTTTCTTCTGTTTTATTTTCGTAGTGTTATATTGAATTCCTTTCTTAAATTTCCTAGTGTTGTATTGAATTTCAGTTGCACAGTATATGTGAGGTGTTGATATTGGTATTAATTAGTTCATATTAAGAAACAACCCTACTCTGCCTCTAACCGTGTTGGGCGATATGCAGATGCCAAGCGGTTGATCGGGAGACGATACAGCGACGCCTCTGTGCAGGCTGACATAAAGCTGTGGCCTTTCAAGGTTGTCCCGGACCCCACGGACAAGCCCATGATTGTGGTCTCCCACAATGGCGAGGAGAAGCAGTTCCCCCCTGAGGAGATATCTTCCATGGTCCTCACCAA